AGGGAGAAATGTATCTTATAACCGAACCACCATTTTAAAACCATCAGAACTAGTCCTGCGGAAATTTGTAAATCTGTGGAATTTTTGTTGTTTGACTTCTAAATTAATATTTGTTCGGCGTGTTATGTTTACTTAAATAAATATTCTGATTGTTTATTTTGACACTCGAAATAAATATTCCAGAGAACTGTAGGAGTCATTCGTCCCAGAAACCAAAGCGCAATCTGCGTTTTAATTTTGCTGGCAGAGCATCTTGAAAGAATTCTTTTTTTCTTTTCTGAATAAGAGGAGTGACCATTTCCAATAAAGTTTCAATATTATTCTTCACCCATTCTGATGAAGTTTTTGTAACATTGGATATCCTCGCCCCAAAGTTCATTTAAAAGTTGATTTAATGCTCCCACTTCATCACGGCTAGCTACTCAGTCACATTTTGATTTCCTTTTCTTCTTCTTCTTCTTCTTCTTTTTTTTTTGTCTAGAAGAGAAATTAATTCGTTGGAAACTGCTTCGCAAACTTCAATCACAGCAACTGCCGCGTCGGTATCCATTTTGCAAACAAACGGAGGTGAGGTGTCAGTCTGGCTCTGACTGGTGTAAACAATCTATCAGATTACAGGTCCGTTCACTCAGTTCGAGACGCTCAGACGAGATGCTCCCCGAGAGTCACTTGGAAAAGTGTACACTGGCTTTTATTCTTGACATGGATACCAGCAATGATAGTGTCAGTGCTGTTTTGTTCCAAGAAATAAGAAGTCAAGAACCTGTCGTGGTATACTGGAGCACCTGTCTATCTAAACCGGAGAGGAATTAATGTGTTTCCAAGAAAGCGTTGCTTCCTATAGTCGAAGTCGGAGAAAATTTTCGTCATACTCTCTCCTGCCGAAAATTCCGGCTCCGCACAGACCATGCATCAATGAGCTGCTGTTAAATTTCAAGAATTCCGAGGGTCAAATAACCAGAAGGATACAGAGACTCCAGAAATATAACATAACTATCCGTCATCGGAAGGGATCATCACATGGAAAAATGAATGGATTGTCTAGAAGACCCTGCCCAGAAAGCTACCGATATTGTTCCAGAGTGGAAGCGAAATACGAGCTTCTTAATCTGGTCGCACAACAACTTTGCAACTTCAGCATCGGCTGATCAAGAAACATTGAGTGACGAAGAAGTCAAGGAAGACCAATTGGAAGACGGCGACATTAAACCGATAATTGATTTAATGGAGTCTCCAGACAGGAAATATACCCTTCAGGACGTAGCCCAACGACAAAACAATATTGGGCTCTCTGCGACTTTTTCCATATTCCAAACAGCGTCTTGTACTGGAAGTTTGGATCAGATAATGGAAAGGTATTCCAATGGCAGCTGATACTTCCAAGATTCCGGATGTCGGTAAAGGATTACATGGCAGTCCAATAGGCGACCACTTCAGAATAATGAAGACTTCGAGCACGAATTTTATTATTTCAGAATAATAGAGTTCGAGTTCAACTGGAATAATGCATGGGCTGACGTACAATAGTAGTGCCAATCTTGCGATGCATGTGCGAGTCGGAAAGGACCGAGGAAACGCATCTGAGTGAAGCTACAACGTTACAACGTAGGAGCGCCTTTTGAACATAATGCCTGAGACCTCTGCCACGAAATGCTGATGTCAAGAAATATATCCTTGTTGTCTTTGATTACTTCACGAAGTGGCCTGAAGCGTATCCTAGTCCTTATCAAGAGGTTTTTACAGTAGCAGAGTTAATGAGAGTTAATGATACAGCATTGGATCCAGTGTTGGAGTGCTTCTTTAGTTACTTCTGATGAATGAAGAAATTTTATCTCGGCTGTAATTAAGGAAGTCTGAAAGATGCTTGGCTCAGATAAAACCCAAACGACATTTTTATACCCCCTGTCAGACGGCATGGTAGAGAGGTTTAATCGAACTATCCTTAATAACTTTTCGTTGGAGGATTCCAGAAACCAAAAGGACTGGAACAAGAAGGTACCTCTGTTTTTACTAGCTTATCGCAGTGCTGTTCACGAGACTACCGGCTATTCCCCATTCCAGATGCTCTTCGGTCGTGACCTTCGTCTGCCTTATAATCTCTTGTTTGTCGGCCTTCGGATGCGCCTTCATCGCCTGAAGAGTACACCCAAGATCCCCAAGCACGGTTTGGAAATGATGCACAGTTTTGCACGAGAGTGAGTCAACTTGGCGACGGAGAAGATGAAGAGCCGATACAAAACCAGAGCTACAGGTCATCAATTCAACGAAGGAGACGAGGTGTGGTTCTGGAATCCGTTTCAACGGAAAGGACTCTCACCTAAAGTACAGTCACCCTGGGATAGTCCTTAGAGAGTTCGAAACAGGCTGGGCGACGTCGTATTTGTGATCCGTAACTTACCGAATTCTAAACCTAAAGTTCTTCATTACGGCAGGCTAGCCCTTACTATAGCCATAATACGTAGTCCTCATAGTATACTATGACCATGGTCATATAATGTAAATATGACATGAATTCATATAATGTACTATATAGACTCATATAATGTAAATGGTATACTAAGACCATGTTCCTGCTTCTTTCTAAATTTTTAAATTTGTGCACTCATTTATTGATTTATTATACGATTTGTTTTATGTTATTTGTTGCAATTATTGTTTAAATATTGCATTGATTTGCCTTAGTTGTAAGAATGGCTGGCTTCCTGTCCAGGGTTTGCATTGCCCGCGACTTTAGTCCTTGAGAAGCAAGCGATGTTACGCATTTTGTACATGTACGGATAATTTTAGTAAAATTCTATGTGAAATTGTATTTTTCTGTTTAATGTTACATGAAAATCTAAAGGAAGCTAGCAGACTTGCCGGAAATGTAAGAATACAGTATCTGTTTAACATTGAGTAAATGGCTGTCTCGCTAATTAGGCGATATATCGCCAAGCTGGGAACGGTTTTGGCAGCTAATTTGTTCCTTCAAATTTGGCGTGAAATCCCCAAAAGTGCCAAACGTAGCGACCATTAGGTGACGTTTTGGTTCGGTCACCGTATCACCGTAATATGTTTTGCAACTGAATAACTGTAATTGATATTAAATGCTCTGTAACTGTACTCGGCTTGCCTTCCAGTAATTTCGAGAAGCAGAAAGTAATAGAAATACCTCTGCGGCCGGGTGAAAACTATGTAAGACCGGAGACAGCATGGAGGTAGGAAAGGGAGGAGGGGCCATTCCGCGCTAGAAGTGAAGCACTGCTTTGAAGCTTGGGTCACCAGACGGGGTGTTTCTTTGTTTACATTCAGAAGCTCGCTTGACAAGATTCTGATAGTATTTCGACACACGACAGTTCCATAGAAATCGAAAAAGGACACTCTCGCATGAAAGAAACATTCATAGTGTGATGGATAATAGCAATTTTGTATAGTTTACTGACATTTACGCAAAAATCACATCTTGGTCATTTTTCGATAACTAACAACAGCGATTTTGATTATGAATTTGTTTTATAAAATTCTAAGCTGTTGCACTACAAAAATATAGATTTTAAGAAAAATGTTATGCTTAAAGAATGAAAAATACCTTACGGTACATTTAAAATTGTATACGTCTTTCGATACCCTTGATAGAGTATTCGCTACTTTTATTTTATTTTCCAAATGTCAAAATGTTTTAAATAAAACAAATTTTTTTTCACATCCATATATTATTGTAACATTTACCTTTTAAAATTTTTTAGAGAAGAGGCTTTACTGCTGCTCATTTTAAACCCATCGTTTTAATTTTATATATCTGAAAAATAATCACTTTGGGCTTAACGTTTTACTTATTTGGGTTAATTAAAAATAAAATTACCATCAAATGCTGCAATCCTCGTCAAAATTATATGTATGGGTATTTATGCATGTGCTTGCAAAAAGCATGTATCTGCCTTGACAAAATACTTAAATATTCATTAAATTATTTATAAATGTATTTGAAATGAAGAATTTATTCACTTATAAACAACTGTGAAAGTACTGTGAAGAAATCAAATGATTAAATGTATCTAATTTATAATGATTATAAATGTTATCTAAATATATAATAACCTTAATATTGAGTTGTAAACATAAATTGAAATCCTGTTGACAAATACGTTATAAAACTATTTAAGCAAGAATTGTTCGTATTAGAAAGCAATCTGTTAAAAGGTATTGTAAAGCAAATGCTATGAGATTCGCACTTAAGAACGTAATAAGAGTTTTGGAATATGTATTGTTGAAAATGAAGGGTAAAAAAAAATCTGATAAGTATAATTAAAAGAATTATTCCCCTTACATTTATAATAACTCAGTTACAAGTTTTAAATAATACTTAAAAAAAAAATTATTTTATTCCCTTTCAGAAATGTTCAGAGAAAGTCAATACTATTTAATACCTATTTAATTATTAGGAATTAGCGAAATACTTATTTAAAGTATTTCGCTAATTCCTAATAATTCTCTAATTTAAAATGAACCGAATAGAGCATTAATTATAAATTGACTTACATTTTTCGATTTAAAAGATGCCTCAGAAGAAGCCAAAAAATCATGTCATATTTAAGAAAGTATTTTAGGAAGAAGCTCTATAAATAGAAAAGAAATAATGCATAATTTTAATATTAATAATGCAATAAACTTTGATCTTAATTTTTGTACCTTAACCGAATAAAATCGAATTACCTTAATTTTTTTTCTAATGTAATTAACGAAAACTTATGAAAATATTTCATTGAAATTAAACCATTCTGAGAAAACTGTCCTGTGAAAAGTATAGCATTTAATTCCGTTCGGAATGAAATGTTGTTTAAAAATATGTTGTTTTCACATACTTAGGACTCTGAAGTGTTGTAGAAAAAGAAAATATATACATTTATAAGTATATTTGCGACGTAATTACAAAATATTTACACCCGAACGCGTCAAATCCCATAGAACTCAATGGTAAATGACCCAATGTTTTGGTCACCACGTAGGGATCGCCGGTGCTTCAGAGCAGGATACGGAGAAACTTGTTTAGGGCGACTCCTTCTTACTTCCTACCTCCATGGGAGACAGTATCTGTTCCTGAGTCACGTGACAATTATCTCGACCTTACATCCAACCCACTGTCCTTCTGCACCCATCGACCAAAGCTGTATATATAATAAAGCGTCGTCAGCTCAATGGACGAACCTGCACTTTGTCGCGATCGCAGCGCTCCTGGTGGTTGCGCTGTGGAAACACAATTAATTGAACTGCGCATGCTCCCCATTTACAGTTGTTTTTGAACGTAATGCTCATGCTGGTTTCAAGAGCTCCTGCATTGATTTGACTCACGTACATTTTTCTTTGCAGTTTCTATCAAACGGATCTTTTCAGACCCAATTTCATTATTATTTTCATTTTTCTGACATAATGGCTTATCGCTACTGCAGATTTAAAGGCTGTAATAGAAAGATTGAATCAAAAAGTGATGGAATACATTTCTACAGATTTCCCAAGGAAGAACAAAGGTTAGTACTAAATTATTTTATGATTTCTTTCCACTTTTGTCATAAAAAATTATTTCGTTAAATGTAATTTATTTGTATCTCATCCTGAACTTTTGCTGAAAAATTTATAAAGTACCTCAAACTCGGAAACAAAAATTGATATTTAAAAATTCGGCTTAAGTGCAGAATCGCCCATTTATTTGTTTGGCGTTTATTTGCCGGTTCAGAAACAAAAAAAAAAAAAAAAGTGAAGCTTAGACCTTTTCTTCCCGCAATATTGCACATCCAGAGTTATTTATATTACAGTTCCTTTAGGTTTGGCACATTATAGCCACCTAACCCTGTTAAAAGTAATGGTGTTATTTTTGAAGCAACTTAAAAGTTGTTAATGTATTGCTTTTGTTTGTGATCTGGATAATCAAAAAGTGTTAAGAGAGAAATGTTTGAAACAAAACACATTACAGTACTTTTACATTAACTGCATGCTAGACTAAGCTACTGGCGTGAATTATAATAATAATAAAAAAAAATGATCTTTGATTGTTAAGGTGAAATGATTGATAAAAGAACATGCTTTTAGTTTGTAAATCTATTTTTAGGAATAGTTTACCAATTATAAAGGTGTAGGCAAAATGCACTGTTTACAATAGTAAACAAAATATGGATGTCCAAATTACAGGTAAACGATTACGTAATTGGAGAATGGGTATCAATAGAATAATGAAGTTGTTTTATCCAAGTAAAGTGATAAAAAGTAAATGACTCTTACTGTGTGAACGTGATGATTCCCGTGGGCCATGAAATTTGCTGTTTTGGTCCCCTTAGATTGAAAAAAATATTGTCAAATTTATTTTTTCTATTCATTTTTGTTATTTGATATGAGAAAAAAAATCGTATTAGTCCGTATGACATTTTCATGGAGAGGGTTGGGGGCAAACCTATAATAAATTGTTCAATGAAGACACTAGTTTTGCTTTCATCTTTTCAGGAAATACAATCTTCAATTTAAATGTAGGGGAGAGGGATAATTCACATTAATCAATATTTCATTATCTGTTATTTAAAAGTATGCTGGTGTTTCATAGATGCTTAAAAAAGTAAAATTGCTTCATGGAGAGGGGGGGCAGTATTAGGGTTATCTCCAGAACACTAAATTAATGCAATTTATATTATACATTAAACTAATGCAGTTAATATGTATGTATAGTTATTTATTTTCCATCTTTTTTTTGTTTTAGATGTCAAGCTTGGGTCAAGGCTTCGCAGAATGAAAAGCTTGTGGGTGTTCCTGCCTCTGACCTACACAAAAGAGCCTATCTATGTATGGTACATTTTGAAGACTGGTGCTTCGTTAATATCACTACTAAACATCGTTTAGTACACAATGCAGTACCATGTTCTACAAAACTCCAGGTGACAAAGGGTTTGGTTCCAGATAAAGTGCCTGAGTTAAGTCACATGACAGTGCCAAATTCTGTGACAAATGGTTCAGTTCGAGATAAAATGCCCGAGATAAATCATATCACAGTGCCAAGTTCTGAACATCATCAGTCAGATTTTCAACAGGAATTAATATCCAATGTTCAAGGACCCAATAATCTTTATCAAAATGTCTGCTCCACTGAACTTTCAACTTGTAACGCATCTTTAATGTCTCTCATTCCACAGCAGTCATTTTCAGCACCAGTGAGCTGTAGCACACCAAAGTCACATTATTCTGGGAAAAAAATACACACCCAGAAAATCACAATTGTCAAAAAAAAAGTTAAAAAATATCGTGACATGGCAAGACGGCTGAAATTAAAATTTGTGTCGTCTAAGAAGAAATTTTCTACAGCTCATTCTCTTGAAAAAACCCTTTCCAGTCAAGGAGTTAGTAAAAAATTATCTTCTTTTATTCAACGCCAGGTAACATTGAATACCCAGAAAACAAAAAGAAGACGTTTTACGCATTCAGATAAAATCGATGCCTACCGCATCTACAGCAAAAGTCGGGCAGCTTATCGTGTTTTGAAAGAGTTCCTTGAACTTCCAGCTGAACGAACTCTTCAACGTTTTGTCTCATCAAAATTGTCATGTACAGGAATCAGTGCAGATATCATATCAGCACTAAAACAAGTTTTACAAAATAAGGAAAATCACGAAAGAATGTTTGCATTGATCTTTGATGATGAGATGTCATTGAAACCCTGTCTAGTGCATGATAAACAAAATGATCGCATAGTTGGATTTGAGGACTTAGGTAGGTGGTTTTCCCAGTGATTCAATTGCAAATCATGTACTAGTATTAATGCTGAGAAGTTTAACCAGCAAGAAGAAACTTCCACTTGGATTTTACTTCTCCAACCATGCAATAAATGCAGAAAGACTGAGAGAAATACTCACAGAAGCTTTAACAAAATTATCGGATGCTAATGCCGTAGTTAAAGCTCTGGTTTGTGACCAGGGGGGAAATAATAGTAGGTTGTTTAGAATTTTAGGAGTGGATTCTCTTAAACCATTCTTTGATTTTAATGGACAGACTATTTATTGTTTGTTTGATCCACCACATCTTTTGAAAAATTTGAGGAGGAATCTTATGAAGTATGACCTGCAGACAAGTAAAGGATTCGTATCTTTCAAATACATTCGAGACTTCCATGAAGTAGATAAAACACTGCTTATCCGCTGTGCACCGAAAATGACTGATGCACACTTAAATACAATGGGATTAAACTCCATGAAAGTTGCTCTTGCTGCACAAGTGTTCAGCCACACAGTAGCAGCAGGAATGAACCTGTGTATTTTGTCTGGACTGATAGAAGCAAGTGCTGCTCCAACAGTAGAGTTCATTCTAAAGATTGACAATTTGTTTGACTCCATGAATGGAACTCGAAAGAATCCTTTAAGAGGAAAACAGCTCCATTGTGCAGTGAAAGAAGGTTCTGCACATATTAATTTTTGGAAAGAGATGATAGCATATGTTGAATCATGGGTTTTTTTTGCAACCGCTTGCACAAAACCAAGATGGTCCAAGAAAGAAAGCATGCTTCAGGACCACGTAGCAGAATAGGCTGGTTGCAAACTCTCAGAGCAATACTAAAACTTTCTGAAGAAATGTTACATGAACGGGAATATTTTATGACAAAGAGGTGCAATCAGGATTGTCTTGAAAATTTTTTCAGTCGTATCCGAGGGAGTGGGGGCAATCGCACAAATCCATCTGCTTATGAATTTTCTTCACTTTTCAAGATTGCATGTGTAAATTCTTTCCGTAACACAAATAAGTTTTCAAATTGTGAGCCAGATGGGGATAAATTTATGTTTTTCATTTTGTCTGCAGTACCATCAACTACAATTGAGGAAAATGAAGTACAGAAGGAGGAGGTGAAAGAAGGACAAATTACAAGTAATGATGATTTTGATGACTCTCTTGTCATTGATTTTGATTCCCCTTGTCAGGATGCATGTTTTGAAAGACTTGATAATTTGTCACAAAATGTTGTTGCTTATCTGAGTGGATATTTATCCAGAAAGGTATTATATTCCTTGAATCTTAATGAGTGTGATATATGCAGTATTTCACTGACAGACAGAACAAAGCCAATGCTGCAGCATACTCTATTTTTATACCTTAAAGAATATAAAAATCAGGATATAACGGAAGGAGGATTGACACATCCGTCAGAAAGCATGACAAAATGCATTGCTGAACTTCTTCAGAAAGCAAATAATTTTTTCTCCCACCACTTGCCAATATGTAACATTTTGCAAAATCTGAAAAATGTGTTATCACAGTTACCAGTGTTTCAGTTTTTGTGCTGTGAACTTCATTCAAATGATGTTAAAAAGAAGATTGTATCTTTTGCCTCTGCTTTTTTTTTAAAAAATTCATCTTCGGGAAAAAAAATAGAAAAATTAGTAAATATAACACAGATCTGAAAAAACTACAAAAGGGGAAACATTAATAGAAATGTAATTAACTAAATTAAAAGCAAAGGGTGTATGTGCTACTTTGTGTGAATTGCTGAGGGTTTTTTTTTTTTTTCATTATTATTATGTATTCATGGTTAGTATGCTACAATAATGTGTGAAATATATATTCTTTCTGTTGTAAACATTGTGTGTGCATATTCCTCATGGATATTTCTTTTCATTTAACCTACTGCTTAAACCATTATACTATTTTATTATTCATATTGTATATTACTATTGTAAAGCTGTCATTTTTATGCTCTATATTGCAAACAACGTAATTTAATGTATTGATAAAAATAAAAATAAATTAATTATTAACTTGTCAACAGTTATTTCGTAAATGTTATTTCGAAATAATGTTCAACTTGTTATTTCGTAAATGGAAATGAAAATATTGCTTTTTCCATTTTCACTTTGGATATTCTAAATTGCTCTAATGTGTACAGCATTGAATTATGTCCATTTTAAGGTAAATTTGCAGAAATAATTTCTTATGAGTTTCCAAACATCTTTTCAAAAATGGGCTTTCTTATTTCCAAAGTGAATTGTGTGTCAATACAAATCATTTGAACCAATTATGGCATGACATCTAATTATCACTTTGGTATTCATGCTTGTTTCAGTATTTTATGGTGGCAATTATTTTGTTATTTATTTTTTAAGTGTTTTAATGCATTATTGAAAATATTTGTTACATATACATTTACAAAACTTTGAATTTTTAACAGAGATATAAAAGTGAAGCAGCTTATGTTTCCACTTCTCAACTTTGTTTATATAAGGGAATAATAATAATTATTGATTAAGATAAAAAATTGATACTTCTTAATTTATAAGCAGTGTAAAGACAGGAAATCTGAGATCATTAATTTCTGAGACATAAATAGCTTTCCAAGATGCAAATAAAACAGCAATGATCGTAAATATTAATGCTCCTAAAATATATCCTGCTTTTCCTAACTGATTTTTGCTTTTTGATCCAAAACTTGTTTCATACAACTTTATTTTAACTAATTATGAAGAAACTTTATACTTGTTTCCTAAACAAGTATTTATGTGTTTGTTAAGTGAAAACAGGTTGATGTGTACATGGTTAAAGTGAAGGGAATGTGCAATGCCAAGTTTGTGCAATTCTCTGATTTTTTTGAAGTGAAAATAGGTCATTGTGTACATGGATACCAAGTTAAAATTAAAAAAAAAAAATGCCTTTGCTTCGTTAAAACAAAATGGCGTCGAAAAACAAACTCGCAGGGATTGGTCGCCAAAAAATCGCCGAGTTACCATGAAGTAAAGATTCACTAAGGTCATTTTCAATAATAAAAATATATTCAAGAAACACTATGACACAAGATTGGGTGTTAATAAATCTATCACTATTGAGCGTTGAAGCTGAAATGGATGTTCAAGTATTGATAAATAATTTTGCAGAAATGAAGGTTAGACACAAATTTTAGTAAAGAAGGATTTTTGTCTTTATGATGAATTTTGACCACCAGCGTTATAATTACACTTATTGAGACGGGGAGGAATTAGAGATGAAGAGCAAGCAGTACAGGATGAGGAAAATTAAAAGGAAAAAACAGAAAAAAACTTTAGCATTCATATTTTTTTATAAAAATAATGTATTCAAGTAGTTGAGTGTACCGAAAGTTTTTTTAAAAGGACAGAAAAAAACTTTACCATACATATTTTCTACAAAAATTATATATTCAAATAGTTTTATTTATGAAGTTTATGATAAATATGTTTTATATTTAACAAATGTATCATTTACATTATAAAAATTCTTATTTATTACTTGTATATTATTTCATAAATCATGTTCGTAAGCTGAGTGAATCACAGAGTACTATATATTAATGTAATATCTTTTCTGTACATTTATCAATTATTTTGTTTGTCAGTTTATAATATAACTAATTATTTATAAGTTTGCTAAATTAAAGTCTTAAATAATTAAAATCATCTAGCGTCAAATACCGAGACCAAAGCAAATTTGCATTTCAACAGCTGGTTAAGGGAAAATATTTTCCTTTTTATTCTTTCTTCATGTACCTTTTAACTGGTTCCCTAAGAAGGTGCTTTTATTTTTTAACAATTAATCCAGATGTGATAAAAATCATCATGAAAACATTGGCTTCAGGAATCCTTGATATTATTTTATTTTTAAGCACATTAAATTTATTGGGAGAGGCGGCGGCCCAGGAAATGTTTTTGCATAGGGGCCCAAGAGTTCTATTTACGCCACTGTCTGGAACATCTAATCAAGAAGTTGCTGAAAAGTGTGTAGTAATGCTTCATAATTATTTTATGTTAATTCCTCATTTGTTTTTTAAAAAATTAAAGGTGTTATGGCTACAATTTTGTGTGGTGATATAAAGAGTTAAGTAAGTTGGTTTTCAAGCCAGGTTATTATCATCTAGCAATAAATCCAAAAATAATATTTATTTGTATTAAAATCAACAGTTTTTCTGACTGTATGTATACATTAATATTTTATTTAAAAAAAGACTGTAGTTTGGTGTAAAAGAATTTTAAGTACATTTTGTTAGTTTTATTTGTATTATTACTAGTAATAATAAAATTTTTAGTATTTTCTACTCATTGCCTGTTTCTTGAAATTATTTAATAAAATTACTCATATATAAAAACATTGGTTCTATAAATTTTTTGCTGTAAAATAAATTATATACATATGTGTAGTTGTTACATCATTATTATAAAAAATCATCTGGATGCAAAGTAAGAATATTTGAATATTTAGAAATTTATTTTATTCTTATTTTACCTTCTTTTTAAATATATTATTTTCTTATTTTACCTTCTTTTTAAATTATATTATTTTTATAAATTTTTTATATTACTGGATTTTTTTCAACCAAAACGACGTAATTTGCAATTTAAATGTTTTACTGTAAATAAACTAAATTTTTAAACAAAACCAGAAGTTTCCTTATAATAGCGGTGCTAAAACGATCAAGTTGCAATTGCAGTTCTGTTTACGAGTGACGGGGGGGAGGAAAAGACGTGGGAAGGGTTTCAACTCACAGCGCAACCGCTGCACATGCAGCCACATGATGATAACGGGAAAACAACATACACTTAACATGTTACTCGCGGTGATTAGCGGAACCTGAAACTGTTCCTGAGTTGTGAGTTGTTAGTTCAGAACGACTTCGGAGTATTTGAAGCTTCGCCTTTTAGACGGGCATTGCTTGCGTTGTTAACATTCTTAGTAATTTGAAGTGTAACCTGATTGTACTCTATGACACTGTAACTCCTGTACGAGTATTTCTGTGGACATTTCCAGAACTCTGAAGTGTTTCTTTTGATAAAATACATTCTATCAACTTATTATCCGAACTTTGTGCGTTCAGTCTATTATGAACCCATACGCACGCAACAATATATATATAATTACAAAACAATTCTTTTGAAAACCAAATATAAACATGCCTAGTATTTTCGCGCATTAGCTACAGAAAAAATTATCATTAAAGACATAAAGCAAGAAATTTAGAACTAATATTTCACAACGACCAAAAATGAAATTCATAATTAATAAATTTCGAATAATTGCAACAAAGAATTTAAAAAAATTAAAATCAAAACACTTTAAATAAGTAAACCCTCATTAAAAAAATTAAGGAAAATTTAAAGAAAAATTAACCCCCCCAAAAAAGAAAAAAAAGAACAAAAACAGAAGATGAATTCAATCAGCTTCAATCTTACTTCATTGGGGGGTGGGAGGAACATTGAAATCAATTAAATTCTCTCTTCTACAAAAATCCTTGCTTCTCTGTATCCAGAATTAGCCGATGAACCATTTCAATGTATCAGTTCACCCAAAAATTCTGGCCCTTCCCCAAAGCAAGAAAAAAACAAAATAAATTCTAATTAGAATAAGTAGGAAAACCTTAAAAAAAGAGAGTTCTGTTTTAATTAGGTTTTTTCTACAATCTTTTATGAGTTCACTCACATCTTAATTCATTGGATTATCTGTTTAAAAGTAAGCATTTTGATTTTAAATTCTTCACTGAAGTATTTTGTTTTTCCACTTTCGGTTTCAATTTTAATAAAATAAATTCCCTTTTTATAAAACAGAATTTTTATAAAACAGAATATATATACGTATATAGGCTTATAAAATTCCTGAAATTTTATTACTAGAATATATTAAATTACTTACAGAAAATTAATCTTGGTACAGTTTTAATTTTTTTTTGTTTGTTATCGTACGTTTAATCGAGCCATTCACTACATCATATTGTTTATTATCGTTCATCAGAAGTTATTAGATAATATTTATTATGCAGGTGAAATTTTGCTATTATCTTCGTTTCCTCTATTAGTGGTGGATGTCACTTTAGACTGGCTTATTAAAGGAAAATGAAATGTTACAAGAGAAATATTGAGGGCTATTTATAATAAATGGCAAGCCAAATACTGGGAATTAATCACACATTTGTTAATCAGCACCTGATTTAATAACTTTATTTATCATTATTTAAGCAATTATATACTTCACGTAGAATCATGCTAACAGAACGCGCGTAGCAGTTCTATGATATTTGGAAGATGAATGTTGCTTTTATTTTTTATAATAAAATGTAGTATATGTAGAAGAATTTGTTAAATATTTCTTAAACAGTCTCATAAAATAATGTTAAATCCACGTTTGGATTTACTAGCTCTTTTTTGATATTGTGCAGCTCTTATTTTAGACCAAAGAGGCGTTAACCCAGAAGGGCTATTAGTCTCGAAACGGCATTTTGCTTCGAATCATTATAAACGGCTCTATCGTTTTTCAAATTGTTCCGAAAAAATATTATCGTCCTGTATTATATTTAAAGAAATTAAATAATGAAGAATCTGCATGCATGTATGTGTGTTTTTCGCACTGTGGAAAAACAGCAACACCTAAGGCCATCAAATTTTGGATAACGTAGTCCTCCACCCGAATATGGGCACCTGGAATTCCAAATCTTGAATTTCGAATTTGTTTAATTATCTATTTCAAATTTTTTAAACTTTAACGAAACGATTAAGAAACTATACGATTTTAAACTGAGCAGTGACAACAC